AGCAGAAATCCTGCAGCTCCGCCCGCCGGACCGGTAAGCGGAGCGAAACACACAAGAGTTAGACCTAACACACTTAGCTATTTTATCTACCTCTGGAACAAGCTAAACTAGTCATTATAAATATATGTATTCTTCACTGTCGGGTCACTCATTACTGGATCAGTGAGCTGCATGAGATACTGACAGGCTGTCAGGAGAGGGAGAGAGGGGGAGAGAGAGAGGGAGAGAGGAAAAGAGAGCGCTTCCGCTCATTTCTCCCGTGTTATTATCCAAAGTTAATGTCAACTTGAATAATGTACATCATTTGAATGTAATAATTAAGTTGATTGTTTGTGGAAGCTCCAGTGAATGAGCCCCATTAACTGAGTTTTAAACATCACTTTAAATGGAAGATTTAAAGTGATGTTTAAATCTTCCATTTAGGCCCCGCCCACTCGATCGGATCGGCGATCGGTATCGGCAGATACTGATTCCGGCGATCGGCCCGAAATTGGCGATCGGAGCATCCCTAGTAGTAAGTAACTAAAGGTAGCCTATTACATAAATGTAGTGGAGTAAAAGTACACCATTTACCTCTGAATTGTAGTGGGGTAGAAGTACTAAGTAACATACAATTTAAATACTCAACTAAAGCACAAGTAGGCCTACAGTACTTGAGTATATGTAGCTTACTTAGTTAGCCTATTTCCCACCTCTGGTCAACAATGATAGGTCTTGATGTCAATAAGTTGTCTTTATTTACTATATCATTATTATCATAAAAATAGCAGGTTTATTTATTTTAACAAACCACGTTCTCCAAATAAAATACACTGAACAAAAATATAAATGCAACACTTTTGTTTTTGCTCCCATTTTTCATGAGATGAACTCAAAGATCTAAAACATTTTCTATATACACAAAATAACCATTTCTCTCAAATATTGTTCACAAATCTGAAAAAATCTGTGATAGTGAGCACTTCTCCTTTGCCGAGATAATCCATCCCACCTCACAGGTGTGGCATATCAAGATGCTGATTATTAGACAGCATGATTATTGCACAGGTGTGCCTTACGGCCCGTCTACACTACAGGCGTCAAAAAATGCTTTCAACGCTTCGCCCATTCATTTGAATGGGGTGACGTAGGATATTTTCAAACTTCGCCGAACTGCATTGTGGGTAGCATGGCAAGGCGTTGCAAGCATCGCGAGCGTCTATCGGCGTCAAAAGTTGAACAATGTTCAACTTTTGAGGCTCGATGCTTGTTCGAAGCTGGCGTCAGCCAATCAAATCCCGTTTTTGCAATTCCCGCCAGTACAAGCACTAGCCAATCAAACCGCGTGCAAGCTGGGAGAGCCAGACCGCAGTTCATTTCCTCATATTCCAAACGAGAAAATACGGTAGCAAATCACCCGGTTCTTTCCGACCAGAACTATTTACCGGGTTACAAACCGGAGGAACCAGGCATGGAGGGAGGAGGCAGAGACAGTGGAGGAAGCAGGCATGGAGGGAGGTGGCAGAGACAGTGGGGGAAACTGGTAGGTTTTCGCCTGTTTGGGGATTTTATATCCAGTTTACTTCGTTTTAACATTGCTATTGCTTTGTATGTCGGGGGCGGGAGATTCATGTGATTGGTTGTTGGTCGCGTTGCTCGCAAAAAATCGCCAAGCTTCAGACACGCCCAGCTTCAAGATTTTTTGATGCCTGTAGTGTAGACGGGCCGTTAGGCTGGCCACAATAAAAGGCTACTCTGAAACGTGCAGTTTTGCTTTATTGGGGGGTCTGGGGGGGTCCGAAAACCAGTCAGTATCTGGTGTGACCACCATTTGCCTCACGCAGTGCAACACATCTCCTTCGCATAGAGTTGATCAGGTTGTTGATTGTGGCCTGTGGAATATTGGTCCACTCCTCTTCAATGGCTGTGCGAAGTTGCTGGATAATGGCAGGAACTGGAACACGCTGTCGTATACGCCGATCCAGAGCATCCCAAACATGCTCAATGGGTGACATGTCCGGTGAGTATGCTGGCCATGCAAGAACTGGGATGTTTTCAGCCTCCAGGAATTGTGTACAGATCCTTGCAACATGGGGCCGTGCATTATCATGCTGCAACATGAGGTGATGGTCGTGGATGAATGGCACAACAATGGGCCTCAGGATCTCGTCATGGTATCTCTGTGCATTCACAATGCCATCAATAAAATGCACCTGTGTTCGTCGTCCATAACGTACGCCTGACCATACCATAACCCCACCACCACCATGGGCCACTCGATTCACAACATTGACATCAGAAAACCGCTCACCCACACGACGTCACACACGCTTGTCTGCTATCTGCCCTGAACAGTGAAAACCGGGATTCATCCGTGAAGAGAACACCTCTCCAACGTGCCAGACGCCATCGAATGTGAGCATTTGCCCACTCAAGTCGGTTACGACGACGAACCGGAGTCAGGTCGAGACCCCGATGAGGACGACGAGCATGCAGATGAGCTTCCCTGAGACGGTTTCTGACAGTTTGTGCAGAAATTCTTTGGTTATGCAAACCGATTGTTGCAGCAGCTGTCCGAGTGGCTGGTCTCAGACGATCTTGGAGGTGAACATGCTGGATGTGGAGGTCCTGGGCTGGTGTGGTTACACGTGGTCTGCGGTTGTGAGGCCGGTTGGATGTACTGCCGCCAAATTCTCTGAAACACCTTTGGAGACGGCTTATGGTAGAGAAATGAACATTCAATTCACGGGCAACAGCTCTGGTGGACATTCCTGCTGTCAGCATGCCAATTGCACGCTCCCTCAAAACTTGCGACATCTGTGGCATTGTGCTGTGTGATAAAACTGAACATTTTAGAGAGGCCTTTTATTGTGGCCAGCCTAAGGCACACCTGTGCAATAATCATGCTGTCTAATCAGCATCTTGATATGCCACACCTGTGAGGTGGGATGGATTATCTCGACAAAGGAGAAGTGCTCACTATCACAGATTTTTTCAGATTTGTGAACAATATTTGAGAGAAATGGTTATTTTGTGTATATAGAAAATGTTTTAGATCTTTGAGTTCATCTCATGAAAAATGGGAGCAAAAACAAAAGTGTTGCATTTATATTTTTGTTCAGTGTAGATAGAAATTATAATGTTTAATCTTTTTGAAAAATAGAGATCGGACCATCAGTCCTGTGTACAGATCATCAGTCCTGTGTACAGATCAGTTCGATAAAGTCATGCCTAAACAGCGACATTTTACACGACGGGTTTAAATAGCAGCATTTGCCACGGAAGGCGAGTGGCAGCTACCGTAAACCTTCTCTCCTAGATTCCACCGGGTCCGTCTGCGTCGCGTTATGGCCGCGTTATGGCCGCGTTACGGCCGCGTTACGGCCGCGCCGCGGTGTTTATAGCTGGAATATTACAATTATTATTAACTTTGTCTGTACAAAGTAGCCTGTCCAGGAAATATGCCCAAATCAACAAAAACTGTGAGCCGGCAGGCAAGACGCTCCGCTTCTGAAATGCTTCTGAAACGCGCCCGGTAGGGTATGACGCCGAAGGAGGCTGGACCAAAACCATGGCGCAGCCGTGACGCGACGCAGACGGACCCGGTGGAATCGAGGTCTGGCATCTTGTGGCAACTCCCGTTCAGCAGCGGCAGATGCATCGGCAAGGTGTGACATCTGTGGCAGATGCCGGAAGTACTTGCCACTGCCTGCAGATGCCACGAAATGTGCTTGCTGTCTCTCAGAATATCCAACTCAACTTTGTTCTCCCCCAACCCTGATGGAAATATCTGGTTATTTTGCTGATGACTGTGAGAGAGACTTAGCCAACATTAGCAACATCAATACCGATTTCATGAAGAAGGCATTTAATGCTTAGCCTTAAAGGTGACATGTCATGCTTTTCCGGTTATTACCCGTCCCCTTGTGTGTTATGAAGGTTTGTATGCATGTAAATGGTGTGCAGAGTCAAAACCCTCAAAGTACACCCTGTAACGAGTAAAACTCTAAAACAGAAAATACCTCCCCAAAACGCCTCGTTGGAGATACGTCACTGTCCATTTGATTCTTCCGGGTACATCATGATGTCATGTCGTCCCCGGAACGAAATGGACCAATCCGTGGAGCCGTTACGTTACGTCCGCGGAGCTGTTACGTTAAGCCCCCGCTGATTGGTCCAAATTGACCACTCCACGGACTTCCTCACACACTCAGTGCAGGCAGCTCTGCTGATTTCTCCTCCCTGGCTGCAGGCTGATAACAGACAGTTGGGATCGCGGTGAAATTCTCTCTGCAGACCCATTCTCACAGCGTTTATCAAACTTTTTCTTACTCAATATCAAGCCACACTTATTGTTTTTACTTCGGCTGTGACTTTGTGTGTGCTCAGGGTGAGTTTGGCTGTGTTTCGCTGTGTATCGCTAAACAAGGAAATCACACCTCCACGGAGTTCAGCGCGATTCACAACGTCCCGACTGGTCCCGACCAATCGGAGCACACTGGGCTCACAGGAAGGGGGGGGGCAAGAGCTGCAACGAGCCGTTTAGTGGAGAGAGTGAATACCGCTGAATACATATACTTTACAGAGATGCTGTATGCGAAACCAATGTGAGTTTGGAAAATTGCACAGTATAAATCTATTCTAGTAGACCTCAACAATGGAATTATGATCAGTGGAAATGGCCATGACATGGGACCTTTAAAATCCATTTAGAGTGCTGCTGTGCCATTTGTTATTCAGCCATCACTCATAAAACCCAAATAATTGTGCTCCAATGCTGCTTATATTAAGCAATTCTTATTTCAAGTGTCACTAAAAAAAGTGAAAAATGTGGTTGTACTGATCTCTGTGTGTATTCCAAGTTATCTGCCAATGCAGTAACACACGCAGGGAAAACTTGTGGTCTGTGTCCTTCAACATCGGGATTGTATTCTCCTGATTCTTGTAACACGAGCAGGAGGCGAAGAGCAGAACAAAGCAAACATATTGATGTTGAACATGTTGATGCTGATCTCTTCCAGGCCTCTTTGACAAACAGTGATGTGATTTTTCTGAAGCTTCATGCACCGTGGGATGTCCTCTGTCACTACGCAGAGCTCATGAACATCCGTATGCCTTTTAGGTGAGACCACAGACTAAGTGTATCATGTAAGGCATTTCCCTTCTATTCAACCGTTTTTGATATCCAAATGTTGACGTTTTTGGTCTTTATTCATTGCTTTTGTTCGCACCTATTTCGAAGCTGGTTCAGAATCAGAATACCTTTTATTAGTCCCAAAAGAACCAAAGACAGCTTAATGTTACCTAAGCATGCATACAAAAAGTACTAATATTAAACAAATTAATTATAATAAAGAAGTTACACATTTTACAAAAATACACACCCTGTAACAGTTCTGAGGATTTAGCAGCCAGGTAGCCATATTTGCACAGTTTTTAACGGCATATATATATTTATTTATTGCACATATTTCACATAGTTGGTTAAATCTCCTGTCATCACTACCCTTCTTTTGTGTGGGATGTGCCAAACTGGACCTACTACACTGTTAAATTCGAAGTGAAACACGTCAAACTGAATGAAACAAAAGTTTTGAACACTAACAAAATAAGTTCTTTAAGTGAAGACATAAAGTTTTTCAGGTTTAGGAGTAACTGTTTGTAAAGTGAAAGTGAAACACAAACACATCAACATGATGTTCTCACACAGCGATCTCACAGAAAAACGTTTTTTCTCCCCCCCCCCCCTTTGGAGTTTCATGCGCTTTATACTATCTCACCCAAGTTCCACCTTTGCTCCTGCATTGTCACTAAAGTTAATAAAAGCAGCATTCCTTCTTAAAGGTGGGGTAAGTAAGTTTGAGAAACCGGCTCGAGATACACTTTTTGTTATATTCCATGGAATGCTCTTAACATCCCGATAGCAATGAATATCTTAAGTGCTTTGACAAAAAATCCATTAAAAAATGTCATCTGTGGAAGCCGTAGCGCTGTAAAAAGCACGACCAATCATTTTAGCCGGCCCGGCTAAAATAACTGGATGGCCTACCTGCCTGTCATCTGTGCACAAATTTATCTCGTGCCCTCATTGGTCATGTGCGCGTTTGTGTGTGTTGGAGGAGGGGCTCTGTAAGGAAGTGGCAGATTTTTTCCGGCTGTGTATTTTCAAATCCTAGCGCACTCGAGCTGGTTTCTCCAAAATTACATACCCCACCTTTAAGGTAATCAACCTTGTGAATAGATTATAAAACCTGAATAGTTTTGGCAAAGAACAAACAAAGACCATACATTAAAAAAAATCTCCAATGCAGTACTGGTCAAAAATCTCCAGTGGGATCCTTTCAAATGTATACTTTTATTAGTATTATCATATTTATTAGTAATAGCAAAAGCACATAATATAACTGATACTTGTAGCAGCAACAGGAACCATAGTAGTAACAACCTTTGAACTGTTCTATATTAATACTTAATTTCTGCATATTCCAGGAGAAAAATCTTTTTCATGCACCGACGGCCCAAGTTCATGAGCAGGTGAGTGTTCAGTTAAAGAGGCAGCATGAAATCAGCTGATGAAGCAAAACCCTTTGTCTTGCAGCTTTAACAGAAACTTCACTTGCAGGATGGAAAAGCGCATCAACAAATTTCGTGGCTGGCTTCCTCGAAAGCCCATGAAGTTTGACAACAACACTTTACCCGACCTAGAGGAAAACGAGAGCTTCACTGCCCCCTTCAGTCGATCAAGGATACATCAGTGAGTCTTTATGAAACAACCCTTTAAAACATTTACCTGAGACACAAAATTGATGAACACACAAAAATGTCTACTGGTTTGTTTCACTGCAGTTTCATCATCCACAACAAAGACACCTTTTTCAACAACGCCACAAGAAGTCGCATCGCCCATCACATCCTTCAGCGGGTCAAATATGAGGAGGGTAAAAATAAGATGGGTGAGTTTTTTCCAAGGCATTATTACACAAACAATGAGTGAGCTGACATCGTTTTTAAAAGCTTTAAAAATGTGCGTAAAACTGCCTTTGCTCTTCAATCTAAATCTTTGGTTAAGGCTTACAAACAGTCACTTACATTTTAAGACAACTTGTGTATGACTTGAAATTGAATGTTAAAGACTTGGAACCTGATTGCAAAGACTTGCTACTTTGGACATGCAAAACAATGACTTGATCCCATTTCTGATAGAATGGACAACGGCCAGATTGACAATCCTTTTTACAAACACCCTCAGCAACACTAGGCATGTTGTTGTGCTTATTCACTGAGAATTGTATTCAAGCAGATCAGATTTTAACAATATTTTAAATAAAAAGTAACATCCCTTATTATCCGTTACAGCATATAGCTTCTGTTGCTCTTCTTTAAATATCCCCTGTTTTTGTTTTCAGGGCTTAATCGTCTGTTGAGCAATAGTTCATATGAGGCAGCTTTCCCTCTTCACGAGGTAATTTTTGGCGATCTCCATAAATTCATTAATTACATTACCTGTTTTTAAGTCATCACTGTTTTCTGTGATATTACAGCAATGCATACAGTTCCTACATTGTGTTTCTCCATGTCTGTGTGTGTACATAATGTTTTGGGACTTTAACAGGGGAGCTACCACAGCAAAAACTCCATCAGAACACACGGAGCAGAGAACCATCGGCACCTGCTGTACGAATGCTGGGCCTGGTGGGGCGTGTGGTACAAATACCAACCACTGGACCTCATCAGGTAGCCCAACTACACTCAGAGACTTGAAGTTGCAATGTGTATGATAATGCCAGAATTTGTATTTCAACATAAAAAATGAATTAACTAACATAATTAATAGAATGTGAAGAAGTTACAGTATTCACGCGAAGTCAAAGACTCACTGTGCTGTGTCGCAGAGATAGCTACTGAGATTAGCATGCTAACTGACTAGCCAGTTATTTCCTGTGATACCACTAGTTCTCCTAGAAGTGAAGTAGAATCACTGTAGGGCTAGTCTGACCTCAGACCACAGAATAAGAAGTAACGTGTCTCATTGAAGGCTTCTCAATACTCTAATTTCCCCTCCTCGACTCCTCGGTCCTCCGGTAGTAACCCGGAAATGGATTTCAGCGCGCCATGTTGAAGGACATCTCATTTCACTAAATGCACATCGAGGACAGAGCATCGTGCATCGAGGAGGCTGTCTGGAGGAGCTATAGCCGAGGGTACACTGATGGTTCCTCCACGGCTCCTTCGCAGATGCATTTCCGGGAACGGTGGAGGCGTGACGCACGGCCTGATTTATCTCATAGTCCAGCAGATATGTGAAATATCTGAAAGAATTGTTTTTGATGATACAAACATGAACTTTGGCACACTGTTAGAGCATGCCCTAAGGAAGATTTCTGGCTATAGGGCCATCGCATATTTGTCCTTTGGTTGTTATTTTACCAGTAGCTTAGGATCTAGACCACCTAAGAACTTGATTCTGGTGGCTAATCCTACATTTTCAAGGATGGGGAATGCTGTGGTACTATTTACAACATGCTAGAATGTAGCTAAATCCTTGTATCTGGTATTCAGGAAACAAAATACACAGTAAAACCATTAACATATTTATTATGGTGAAGTAATACATGTTACATAATATATATGTCATATTACAGGTTTTCAACTAAATGCAGAGTTAGTTCTGAAAACACAGTCCCCCACAGTAGCAATGGGAAGTGCACTGAATTCCTACTTTGACACATTTGAAAATTGTCCACTGCACCCCTTTTTGCATCCAGTCACCTGGGGATGGGAGTTCAGGGGCTTGTGATGTTTGTTAGGTTTCACATTGAGATGGCAGCACTCAAGGTACTTGGCAACCTCCTGGAGGGGTAGCGGGTGGACAAGACCAGTGTCATGTCCCCAGTTCCACTTCTGGTCTATCATCCTGTAGCTGGAAATAGAGTTGATGATCTATGTGCGATCAATAAGAGAGGCTGACTTCCTTCTACTCTATATAAATACCTCTGTGAAAGGTGATAGTGATGCTGTAGGCCTGACGGAGAACCCTGCAGCTCTGCGACGATGGATGCTGTCTGGCCCCGAGATGGCACGTGTAGTTGGAGAGTTTGAGGCCTCCACTGAGAAGAGAAAGAAGGGTGACACCCGGCACCATGAGCAGACCAAACATGCACAAATGTCATTTGCACGAGATGTTAAAGCACTAACTGGTGCTATAGAAGACATGGGCAATCCATGCTGTGAAAAGAGCATTGTCAATCTTCTTGTACTGGACACTAGAGATCTTGCAGATGCAGCAGTCATTGACACTCTGAACCAGATTGAGAAACTTGGACAGGACCAGTATGACACCTACAGTGGAAGAAATAAGTATTTGATTGAGTATTTAGATTTTTGTATTCACCCACTTACAAATAAATGAACAGTCTATACTTTTAATGGTAGGTTTATTTTAACAGTGAGAGTAAGAATATAAAAAAGAAAATCCAGAAAATTACATTATATAAAAGATAAAAATGTATTTGCATTTAACTGTGGGAAATAAGTATTTGATCCCCTTGCAAAAAACAAGAATTCTGGCTCCCACAGACTGTTTAAGTAAGTCCTCTTCCTTTAAGAAAGTACTACTAATATCAACTTATTACCTGTGTGCAACTCGATTTTGACAGGATAACAACTGGTGATTTCTAGAATTGTGTGAGTAACATTCTGTTTTTAGACTTCTCTGTTTCAGTGTGTGTACTCTGTATAAATGCTCTGTAGTTGATCTGACTGAAATTGTGATTTTAAAATCTCAAAACCGCTACAGTATCTGTCAGGCAGAAACTTGGGACAAGTAATTTGACTGAAACCTTAAAACTGAACTAACTGACTGCTAGGGTTAACTTTGATTTAAACATTTGTAGAATACTAAGAGCTTTATTGAGTAGGTGTAACTGTATTAAGGGTTAAACTCATAACTTTATAACTTAGGGTTTAATGTAATTGTAAAACCATTGGGCCACTGAAAAGATACAATAACAACTCAGGAGGGAGCCAGCCTAGATTTCCTTTTGAGGGCCACCAGCTGCAGAGAGTTAACTAATTAAAGGGACTTGGCCCCACAGCTGTGAGAATTCAGCAATCAGGTGTCCATTTTAGGTAGCACGTTCCTGGAGCGTCAGCGTCAGACAGACGAAGACTGACAAAGACATTAGAGTTCTGCGGGAGTCACGAGGGAGGCAAAGAGGAGGCAAATCCTACTTTGATTGAACTAAGTATCGCTGGTGTTTTATTTTCTTTAGTTTTCTTTTTGCCCCTCAGGCTATAATCATGTGTATTTTCTCCATTCCTGTTCATGTGTCTTCTCGCAATTATCACTGGCCCTGTGTATCTCGTAATCGATATAACCGGCCTGATCTCGTCTATCCCACATGCTCCACTGAGATCCAACATCTAGTTTCAGGGGGCCTGTGGAACTGCCAGTCAGCTGTTCCTAAGGCTGACTTCATCTCTGGCTACGCCTCCCTGCAGTCTCTGGATTTCCTTGCTCTCACTGAGACGTGGATTACTCCATCCAACACATCCACCCCAGCAGCTCTCTCCACAGCATATTCCTTCTCCCATACACCCAGACCCACTGGCAGAGGAGGTGGCACTGGTCTCTTGCTCTCTCCCAAATGGAGCTTTTCCCTCTTCAAGCTACCTAACTTCACTCCTTCCACCTTTGAATTCCATGCCATCACAGTAACCCATCCTATACAATTAACTATTGTTGTTCTCTACCGTCCACCAGGCGCCTTGGGGGACTTTTGGAGGAATTAGATCATCTCCTCTCACACATCCCTGAAACTGGCCCTCCTGCTGTACTTCTCGGAGACTTCAACCTCCAGACAGGGAAGATAGCTGAACTAACATCTGTTTTAACCGCCTTTGCTTTCTCACTGTCTCCATCCCCACCAACTCATAAAGCTGGCAATGTCCTTGATCTCATATTCTCAAGGAACTGCTCTACTTCTAACCTCTCTGTAAACCCGCTCCACACATCCGATCACTTCTTCATTTCATTCTCTCTACCCCTTTCCAAACATAACAAACTAATCTCTTCTCATCCTGCACCTGTCCGCCGTAACCTTCGTTCTCTCTCCCCCTCTACCCTTGCCTCATCGGTTCTCTCAGCCCTCCCTTCCTCTGACTCGTTCCAACTCCTGCCTCCAAACTCTGCTGCAGAAACTCTCCTCTCTACACTTTCATCCTCTCTGGACTCCCACTGTCCTCTCACATCTCGGCAGGCTCGTCAGTCCCCTCCTGCTCCCTGGCTAAATGACGCCTTCGGGCAGCAGAGCGGAAACGGTGGAAATCCAAACACCATGACGACCTCCTAACCTATCAGGCTCTCCTCTCCTCTTTCTCTGAATCCACTTCAAGACAATGGTACTTGCGTACCATGCTGCGAATGGATCTGGCCCTTCCTACATCCAGGACATGGTTAAACCGTACACCCCAGCACGTGAACTCCGCTCTGCATCAGCCAAACAGCTCGCTGCACCCTCACTGCGAGGCGGACCCAAGTTCCCATCAGCAAAAACACGTGGGTTTGCTATCCTTGCTCCAAAATGGTGGAATGAGCTCCCCATTGACATCAGGACAGCAGAAAGCTTACACACCTTCCGGCGCAGACTGAAAACTCATCTCTTTCGACTCTACTTTGAGCGATAGAATTACTAACAAAGCACAAAGTCCTTTATTAGTCCTACTAATAAAGGACTGGCTTATCTAAAGCCAGTTGAGTAGCACTTGAAATGTTTTTGCTCTATGAAACCTGATGTACTTATATGATTCTGTTTTCTTCAAGTTTGTATTTTGTTGGTCAAACGCACTTATTGTAAGTCGTTTTGGATAAAAGCGTCAGCTAAATGCAATGTAATGTAATGTAATGTAATGTAATGTAAAAGACACCTGTCCACAGAATCAATAAATCAGATTCCAACTTCTCCACCATGGGCAAGACTAAAGAGCTGTCAAAGTACCTCAGGGACATGATTGTAGACCTGCACAAGGCTGGGATCGGCTACAAGACCATGAGAAAGCAGCTTGGGGAGAAGGAGACTGTTGGTGCGATTATTCGGAGATGAAAAAAAAAGAATGGGCATCAATCAACAATCAATCGCCCTCGGTCTGGGGCTCCACACAAGATCTCGCCCCGTGGGATATTGATGATCATGAGAAAGGTGAGGTATCAGCCAAGAACTACACGGGAGGAACTTGTTAATGATTTCAAGGCAGCTGGGACCACAGTCACCAAGAAAACTATTGGAAACACACAACACCATAATGGATCAAATCCAGCGCCATGCTCAAGAAGACTCATGAAAGGCCACCACCATTGTCACAAATGGGCAAGCTGAGAACTGGTACCAAGTCAGATTGGTGGGCTGAGGACCGGATTTATTTACAAGAGAATGCATCTCACCCCACAGTACAGGTCATCATCCTTGATGGGGCTGCTCTTGTGAACATGCTACGACCTGGTGCTGCTAAGACGTTTTTTGATTATGTGCAGAAAGTGTTCTCACCATACTGACATGCTCTCAGCTGGAGCATGTTAGCAGAGTCGATGTCGTGTGGGATGAATATTTCCCGAAAGTCTGAAGGCTGAAACACGCAGCAAGAGAGGGAAGGGAGTTCATAGACGCGTTGAGCCATCCAGTGTCATTCCTGGAAACTGGCCAGAGTTTCTGCGCATTGAAAACAAGAAGGCTGAACTGTTCCTTGCAACCAGTGTGACAGCCCTCAACACTGGCAAACAAATAATCAGTACTTGCAACATGCACACATGAGGAGGATAACCACATCCTACTGCACCTAGGAGATGCTGTGAAGGAAGGGTATAGCAAGGTGTCAATACGCACAGTTGACACGGATGTGGTAGTACTGGCAGTCACAGCAGCCCAATCCCTCAACATCACTGAGCTGTGGGTTGCCTTTGGAGCTGGGAAGAGTTTTCGGCATTTAGCAGCTCATGAGATGGTGAGATCACAAGGTCAAGATCAAGGCATAGCCTTATCAATGTTCCATGCATTTACTGGATGTGACACTGTCATCTTTTGATGGCAGGGGCAAGAAGATGGCGTGGGATACATGGATGACGTTTGAGGATGTGGAAGAGGGGTGGAAGCAGGCCCGCCCCTCCCTGCACACAGATCACGCAGACTGGGTGGGGCCTCACCTCGCGAAGGGGGCCGCGGAGGGGGCCTCACCTCGCGGAAGGGGCCTCACCTCGCGGAGGGGGCCTCGTCCGAAGCGCAAATGTGGTGCACCTTCATGCGCTTATGCGTAGGGTTGGGAACCGAAACTCGGTTCCAGATGAGAACCGATGAGAAAATGCCGAGTACCAGGTACCCATACAAAATACACAATTTTGGTTCTGCTTAACGGTTCCTAAACGCGGTAGACCCTGTATTCCACCGGGTCCGTCTGCGCCGCGGTGACCCGGTGGAATACAGCGTAAGGGCGGACTGGCCATCTGTGTGTTCTGGAGAATCACAGGACGGCCGTTCGTCAGCGGTACGTCGACGGCCGGCTCGGTACGCTGACGGCCGGCAATGCCCTTAATTCTTTTAAACGGCATCATGTAAGTTGCGCTGACAGGCGACAGAGGTCCACAGTTGCCCCGCAGCGAGGCTCCCCCCGCCCTCCCGTAGACATTTCACGATCTCAGTCACTTCATAACACTAAAGATGGATCACGGTAAACGCTCTAAAGTGAGGCTCCACTACACTAAAAAATAAAAAGACAAGGCACAGTGTAATGCCTGTTAATAGCTTGCCACAGGCATAGCTCAGTTAAAATAAAGCACAGCTATTGTGCAATACATTTGTATTGCATGTATATTTTCCTGTGGAGGTTGGGGACATTGAACCAGAGTGGTCGGTGTTCAAAGCCTCTATTGCCGAAGCCGCGGCGGGGACCTGTGGTCTCAAGGTCCTAGGTGTCTCAAGGGGCGGTAACCCTCGAACCACACCGGTGGTCAGGGAAGCCGTCCGACTGAAGAAGGAGGCCTTCAGGGATTTGTTATCCCGGGGGACTCCCGAGGCAGTTGCAAGGTACCGACCGGCCCGAAGGGCAGCAGCCTCATCCGTG